CAACAGGTTTTTGGAGGGGGCTGCCTGTGAACCGGGCTGAGCAGCTGCATCCGTGCTCCTTATCGCTCAGCCTAGGCAGGCAAACATCTTCTTTCCCAAGGTCTGGCCTCTGCTTCCCACAGGAGATTTTTATGGCTCTACAGATCAGAAATTTCCATCTCCAATACAACGACGCAGTTGACGGAAGAGGAGGCTGCCCTGTGGGCTGGGAACGAGGGACTGAGCAGGAAACGTTTGAAGCCACAACTGCAAAACCAGGAACTTAGGAGACAGCACAAGCTCTTATCCGAGGGCTATTGGCATTTGTTGTAGGATAGTCACCCAGTAAATCCCCTGTTTCTTCATCTGTTCGTGAACACTTTTGTCTTTTGCTTTGGCAGGGTGGTAATGGAACTGTTCACTACCCAAAATGTTTCTTGAAGGAAGTTTTTCAGCTAGTATGGGAAAGAGGAGGCCTCTGTATTTCAGACAAAGTGAGTTTGTTGCTTTGTTTTGTTTACCAAAGCCCCAGAGCGTGAGGTACCTTTGGAAGTCCTTTTAAAGAATCCAAGACTGGAAAATAATCCAAATGAATCACTCTACAGCCAGCTTTACCTTTCAGTGCCTGAGGTTTACACAGTGCATCTCTCCTAGCATTGCTGCCCCTGCTGTTTACTGCTCTCCTGCACTGAGCTTAGACACTGAGGTAGCAGCTGCCTTTCCTTGACTTTTGGGAGTAGCACATTTGCACCGACGTGCAGCGCATAAACATCAAGATTGTCACAGTAGCACTTAGTAGCAGTGGTTTGTGCTCAGTCTGAATGCAGAGCTATTGTTCATGTTGAAGGGTTGGCAGGTAGAACTCCCCTCACCCTTTCCCCCCACTCCTTTGTACCAGGCCTAACACTTGGTGAGATAACTGCTCTCTCACATGGAAGAAAAAAACAGAAAAACAAAGACCAAATTACAAATCTTTGTGTAAAGATACAAAGATCCTACTGTAATAGATGACTTTATGTTTCACTGTAGATATTAGAGCTGCAGTTTATGCGCATCAGTAACAGCAGAGAGACAAGAGAAACCATATTTTAAAATGTGAGAAGGTAACAGGGACATTCCCAGGTGTTTCTCTTGAAAGGTGCAGACAGAATTTGGACGGACAGGCAGCCGTTTCTGGGGATTTCAAACCCACGATGTACTCCCTGACATTGTTACAATGGCAAAAGGAAATGGGAATGGTTTCCCAATGGCAGCAGTTGTTACAACAAAAGGTATGAGCTGTCTGTTCTGCTGAGGGGGAGGATAAAGCAGATGCAAAGTACACAGTGTAGTAGTTTATTACTTGTTCCAACAGCTGAGCTTCATTAGTGTTCCTGGTCTCATACTGTCTGTTGAGATAAATGAATCAGATTCCCATAGTATTTGATTGATTAATTGCTGTGTTACAGCAGCATAAAGTTTGATTTAAAGGGGGCTGGTTGTGTAACCGAAGCAGAGAAGATCTTGTGACACTTCGGCAGAGCTGGCAGCAGACCCTGGGAATTCTGCATAATTCAGTTTTTTTCTCAGTAACGCGCTGTGTTGGCCACAGCTCGATTCATGTGAATGATTCACTGAATCTTGTATGGAAGGAAATTTGGAGATGTTGGTTTAAAGGATAACTGACTAGATCTGTTAGAAGTGTAACACTTCAAAACTCTTTAGCAACTGCTAGGCTTTATAGTATGGGGAATATAGTAATAATATTCTCAGATCTGCTGCATGACAAATTAAAATCTTCCTGTCTCTTTATCTCCAGGAGAATCAGGGTGCAACACAGCATTATTTTAGAAGTTAAAGCAGCTAAGTACTGTTATAAGGCCCTTGCAAGGGAAGAAATGAAAATGTTTTTCTTTTAGAGATTGCAAGTGCCTTGGCTCAGAACCTTCGCTTTAATACGTTTGGAGGAAACCCTGTGGCTTGCATAGTGGGAGCTGCAGTTCTTGATGTAGGGAGATGATGTTTGTACCCCCAGGCTTTTTCTAATAACAAAAGATGAAAAAAGTTTACATTTGTTTTTATTATAAATTTAGATATGGGCAACTTTATAAATAACTATAGAAAATCTAAGTAAGTATTATTTTTATGTGTTCAGTGTGCCCTGGGGGTAAGAAAACAGTAATTGCTGATTTGTTCCGTTGTAAAATTTTCATCCCAATAGCAAGAATAATTATCCTCTATGATTACATTATCAGAATAATCCTTCCTTTTTTATTCCTGTAATGTTCTTAAATTTGTTAATAAAAATGTAGGAAAGTGCTTTGAAAAAGTAGCACCCATAAATGACTTTCATAGGATGATGCAAATCCTCAGTTAAGCTATATTTATTCTCTGAAGCATATATGTAATGATTAACTCCATAGTTTCTGCCCTCTGCACAAAAAGACCTAATAATCAGCTAGTTAAAGATATATAAGGACTGAATCCCTTCTGAAAAAGAAAAACTCTCATGAAAAAGACACAGAAAAAAAATGCATTTTATAATTTTTCTTTGCGATATATGATACAAAATCATTAAGTGGGCAGTAGGTTGCTATTTAATTTGTAACGATCACACACAGACCAGCCTTCCCTGACTATGAAGCTTCATTATAGCAGACGGTCCATTTTTTTATGCTCAGGTTATTTTCCTGGCTGATTTTTCTCACAGCTGTTTCATAAAATGTAGACTGTTGATGATACAAATTAAACCATTTTGAAACACCAAATTACAAGTAAGAAAGTCAAAAAACAGTATTTTTTCGGGGAGGGGGCTCTGAAATAACTTTGAGTTATTAAAATGGAGTTATTAAAAAGGACACAGCAGGATGAAAATATTAACTTGTCAGTTGTAATCTGATGCTCTTAGTGGTGTAGAAGGGAGTAAGGACACTAGTACCACAGCATAGTCTGCAAGAGGAAGGGAGATGAACATGATGTACCTGAAGCAGCTCAAGCTTTCCCAGCAATGTTGTCATTTTACATCGTTTTAATCAGGCTATTGAAGATGGGCTACAACAAAACAGTGAGGAGGTGGGAACGTACATGCTCCTAGAGCTCGCTAAATTCCACAATAAGTACGAAATTGTTAGAGAGGTCCGTGGGGTAGAAATAGTCACAAATAAGGTTGGTGATTTACTTTATTTCAGCTGAAACAAAATGATTGTGGTAGCAGTAGGACTTTTTTTTATTAAAGACAGAGTAAGAGAGACCACATTCTGGCTAAAAATTAGCTAGAACATCCAAATAGCTTAAATATTTCACAAGTTTTGGGTGGGCAGGGGGTTGTGTACTTGAATTGTAGCACATAAATTAGCACATAAATTTTTAATAAACTAATTTAGGGTTTTTAAATGAAGTTTAATGTTCACTTTTCACAGGGCAACTGCCACCCTCTTCCAAATGAAGAATTTGGTCAGATCTGGGAGGACTGTAAGGACATGGGAATACTCCTTGGCAGAGGAGGGCTCTATCATGCGGTACAGGGCTTCTGGTTTGCATCCTACTTCACTTGTACTTAATTAACTTTAGTTTAATAAGTCAACTGGAAAATGTGTATAGTCCAAAGCGCTCTGCCTCCTTTTCTTATGTTATGAATCAGGCAGGAGGTGTTTGTCTTTTCTCACAAATACACTGAACTAGCTCAAAGCTAATTCCCCTTTTAGAGGGATAATTCCCCCAAGAAAAGCAAAGCACTTTATTATAACAGATCACGTGCTAGAGGAAACCAGTAGTGTTCAGGCTTGTTAGCTCCAGACACAGTACAGGTTCCCACTTGACTTGATGGTAAGAGAAACAAGTTTTTTCTCATCAGTGCTTCCAGTCAGGACAGCTGGTAGTCCTCTACCTGGCTGGTAATAGAGAGGCTCTTACTAGTAAATTCAGCAGTGCAGCACAGCAGCATGAAGAAAGGGCCATGGGTAATTCATCCTGAGATACTACACACTGTATCAGGGCCACATGGCAGGAGCTTCTCATGCTTCAGTTAATGACAGGGCTGCCTTAAGGACAACAGCTCAATTAAGCCCTGGGACTTGGAGGAAGGAGCCTGTGTACGAGGTTTTGTCAGAGCTCCTGGAGCAGAACACGGGTTTCAGAGTGCAGCTTAGAACCAGGTTTTGCTACACTCTGTCTCCTAAGAATATTCTTGGATGTTCTTATCTGTGAGTTGTAGTTGAGGGTGTGGGTGGGTAAGACCATTCTGTACTTGTTGCATATCGTCCTGGAATATGATGATAGGGAAACTTAAATGTTTAATATTCTTCGGGAGGTTAAAAAGTTTTGGAAGCTACAGACCAAAGCTGGATTTAAGAATTTAAATTCTTGCTCTGCTAAACTCTATGTATTTCATTCTTCATCAACATGCATTCAGGCTGTATTACCCTCCTGCAGGTCAATTTTTAGCAGCTGTTTCATAACGCATTCTCCAAGAATTAAAGGCTATAAACTAACAGCAAATTAGTTGACAGCAAGTTAGCACAATGCAAGAGTTGTCACTCTTCATAAAGACTCCTTTTCCCTATGGGCAGTTTCCTTTCATAGCAGAACTGCCCCTCTCAGCCCTTTCTTGCTACAAATCCATCTCATTATTTATACTAGCTCTGTCTGGAATAGCAGACCTGGGCACATGTCATCTACTCTTGTCAGGTCTCTCGTGGAGGCAGTTACTCTGTTGCAAAAATAAAGCAAGCAGTTTGATGTAGTAAAGTCAAAAATTGCCCCACTTCTGAGTGCATTAATCAGAGGCAGTTCTCCTGTTTATGGTTTCTCTCATTTTTGGTTAGATGCTTTTTTTGGCAGAAGATGAATGCTGACTTAAATGAGCTGCTAGGACCTCTATTACATCCCTGCACAGCTAAGGATTCCCCCCCTCTCTCCTCAGACATTTAGAATTAAGCCTCCCCTGTGTATTACTAAAAAGGACGCGGAAGTATTTTGGACTGCATTAGAGAGACACGTGGAAAGAGCAGCTGCCAAATAGACTGGACCTGGTGCCTTGTACAGGAGATACTCCCTGACCTCCTCCTCTCTGCCATCCATCTCTGCACTAATCCTGTAATTCATCTACAATGGACAAGGAAAAAGACACTCACGGGCTGCAGCTGGAGAACTTGCTCAGCACAATAAGACCCTTCTTACACATCAGTATTTAAAGAATAATCTGGTTTGTAAACATATCGTTCAAATTCTGCAGTAGTGTTTGGTATTAGTTACATACCTTTTCTAGGGTTCAGGTTAAAAAGACCCCAGATTACACTAACCTGGAGTCAGAGTAAGTGAAGATGTTATCTATTCATTTTCCATCTAAAAAGTATCAAAATTTTTAGAAAGAGTAACAGATAAATTAAAACTGTCCTTATCTAATAAACTTTCTTTGGACTTGAGCAGCATAAAGTAGCTTCGACAGCAACATTTCCAGTTGTCTAAAGTGCAAACATTTGTAAAACAAATTATATATATATATTTTTTACTTAAATTGAC